CATCCTAAAAAAGCTCTTTAAGGGCAGTTGGGTCAGATTCCCAAGCAACCTAGACCTGATCAGTATAGGGCCAATATTACATTACAATGTTACAAATTTGCATCTCACAGCATGGAAGATACAGGGAAGGGGCTGAGTTTTTCCTAGCAGTTCAGGATATTCTGTTGCAGGCACTTAAACCTGCTACTAGGAGATCTTATAGTGTCAAGTGAGAGGCCTTTTCTGCATGGTGTAGGGATGAAGGAATTACACCTAAGACAACGGGGTTACCTGCTATATTTAGTTTCCTACTGAGTCTTAAGTCTAAAAGTTTGGCTTTTTCCTCCATCAAGGTGTATCTCATGGATATATCTTGTTTTCATTCAAAGATGGAGGGTTCCTCAGTGTTTGCACACAAGTTATCCAAATGTTTCCTAAAGGGATTATCTAACACTTATCCTCCTAAGAGTCCTTTAGTTCTGTAATGGTTGTTAATCGGTGGTTCTCACTAGTATCATGAAGAAACCCTTTGAACCAACAGCTACCTGTCCTTTGCACCTCCTTTTTATGAAGGTGGGGGGTTTGGTAGCCATCACCTCAGTGAGAAGGGTGAGTGAGCTGGCTGCTTTAAGGATTGACTTTCCCTTCCTAAAGATTTTCAAGGAGACGGTGGTCTTACATCCTAGACTTGAATTCTTCCCAAGGTAGTTTCTAGAGTTCACTTGGCCCAAGAGATAATACGATCAGTATTTTTTTCCATCCTCATCCTCAGATAATGAAAGTCATTACACTCTTTGGATTTGAGGCGAGCTTTGTTGTTTTATTTAAAGAGGTCTAGGTCATTCAGAAAGGACCCTGCTGTCTTTATCTGTTATGCTGGCCCAAATAAAGACAAGAGGATTTCTCCCCAGATGATCTCTATGTGGACTGTCTCTGTAATAAAGTTCCGTTACGCTCAAGCCAGTCCCCCTTGTCCGCTTGATGTCCATGATCACTCCACCAGGGCCCAGGCTTCTTCTGCAGTATTGACCAATGGGGTCCCTCACCTGGAGATCTGCAGAGTGGCAACTTGGTCCTCAGCCAATAGTTTCATCAGGCATTATGCGTTGGACCTGCGAGCCAGAAGGGAGGCACAAGTGGGAAAAGCAGTGTTGCATTCTCTGTTCTAGTAACCTCATACAGAGCTTCACACCCACCCCCAAGTAAGTAGCTTACTAGTATACCGATGTGGGACTGCACAGAAGACCAAAGATGAAAACAAGGTTGTACTTACCTGCAACTGATGTTTATCAAGTGTCTTCTGTGCAGGCACACATTCCTTCCCTCTGCCCTGCTGTGAGCTCTTCATGGCTTGCAGCAGCTCAGGTGGAACTGAAGGAAGGAGGCACAGCTGTGCTGGAGCACATGACCCTTTGGGTGGGAACAAGTGACTCAGCTACAGTGCACAGCACCCCCTAGTGGTTTAACTAGAAATTTATGCCTGGCAGCAAGCCTCCATAGTAGCAGTCCCAATGTGTGCCTGCACAGAAGACACTCAATGAACATTAGTTACAGGTAAGTGCAACACTGTTTTCTTACCAAATCATCACTATAGGATCAGGACAGCCAAAGCATCAGCTTCTACTTTATTTTACACACTGAAGCCATATGCTCTTGTTCTGTCATTGATGTCCCTGCCTTTTGTACCATGCTGAGCAGCAAGGATGACAAGGAGGAATAATGTTTTAAGTGGGTTGTGTTTATATTCTGTAGCCACTAAATCCAAGTATGTGCCAAGTTAGATCCATGTAATTTGTTGAGGTGGAGGGTTATATTGGATTGATCCTACAGGACACTTAGAACTTGGGGGGGAAGTTAACAGAATTTTTTGTAGCTAAGATAATGAAGGACAGTTTTGAAAGTGTACTAAGGTATTCTCTGCATGCTGTGTCCCTGCTTTGGAGACAATTTTAATTTCAGGCTCCAAGTGATACAGTTAGTGATAAGATGAAAGAAATGGGCCAGAATAAAACAAAATTTGTTGTTTGCACTAATCTAAATGCCTTTATGAGCTTCATTTCCACCCTCCGTGTATATTTTTGTCTGATTGTTGCTTTCTCTGTTTTCCCCCCACCATTTGCTTTTCAGAGGCAATGTTTCCTCTGTCATTTTAAAATCATAGAATCATAGAGTTGGAAGGGACCTCTAGGGTCATCAGTCCAGCCCTCTGCACAATACAGGAAATTCACAAATACCTCCCCCCACACCCCCAGTGACCCCTGCTCCATGCCCAGAAGATGACAAAAACAAAAACAAAAAAACTTCAGGATCCCCAGCCAGAGTGGCCTGGAGAAAAATTGCTTCCTGATCCCAAAGTGGCAATCAGCATTTCCCTGGACGTGTAAGAAAAGGGCCACAAGAACTAAGCACTGATGCAATCCTTTCTGCCCTCCCTCTCATGATTTGCCTAAGTTCATAGAATCAGAATTGCTATCAGATGGCCACCTGCAGCATCTCAAGCATATGGCTGCAAATTCCACCTGCAGCTTGTGTTTGAAAACCTCCACAGAAGGAGAGCCCACCACCTCCCAAGGAAGCCTGTTCCACTGAGGTCCTGCTCTGTCAGGAAGTTCTTCCTAATGTTTACCAGAAAACTCTTCTAATTTAATTTCAACACATTGGTTCTGGTCTGACCTTCTGGGACAACAGGAAACAACTCCACACCATCCTCTATATGACAGCCCTTCAAGTACTTGAAGTTGATTATCATATCACCTCTCAGTTGTCTCCTCTCCAGGCTAAACATATCTAGCTAATTCAATCTCATAGGACTTGGTCTCCAGACCCCTCACCATCTTTGTTACCCTCCTCTGGACACATTCCAGCTTGTGTACATCATTCTTAAATTGTGGTGCCCCAAACTGAACACAGTGTTTTAGGTGAAGTCTAACCAGAGCAGAGTAAAGCGATACTATCACTTCATGTGATCTGGACACTATACTTCTTTTGATACTGCCCAAAATCGCATTTGCCTTTTTAGCTACCACATCACACTACTGACTCATATTCAGTGTATGGTCTACTAAGACTTGACTACTACTGTCAAGACAAATTTCCCCCATACTATAATTATATTTTCCCCTAGCACTTCTCACTGTTTCTTATGTTTCCCTGTTTTCTGTATTCATTAAATACCAAGTATATTCTCTTGTCTGTAATTTTTAAATTTCAAGTTTAGAATCTAAGTGAAAAATTCTGCTCCTTGTCCCATCAGTGACATATATGTTCATTCTAGCTCTCTTGTATTCAGAGTAACTTCTCCACCATTCAAGCATATGGCTGCAAATTCCACCTGCAGCATCTCTTCTATTATGAAGGGCTAGATATTGATCCATGGCTTTTGCTGAGAGAAAGAGAGAAGTATTATCTAAAGTGTTATCTAATGTCTTGAAAGGTTTTTTAAAAAATGCTTTTCTAATGGAGATGTCAAAGTGGCAAAACACATTTTAAAAATAGAAGTTAAATAGTTTAACATAACATTTTCCACATCTTAAATGTTAAAGATACCTTCTTGTCCTTGTTTCACAATTTAGATATGCTATTAAAAGATTTCAGAAACCCAATCAGAGGTTGCTCTGTGATAGGCATATTTTATTCCCCCCCCCTTCCCACAAGTACAGTGAAATATTTTGTCATTTGCTTCAAACCAAAGTTTCCAAGTGCATGAGACCTCTTAGTAACATTAGATAGGGTTCTCAGTTCATGTAGCATGGCAGTCTCAGTCATGGCCTTGCTCTGTGAGTTTTAGCTGATGGATAAATTAAGACCATATTTGTTTCCATAGCTGGAATTGCAGTTGTGAAATATTCTAGAAGGTGTTGATTTCCTTGATCTGAGCTGACACTCCATAACAGGCCATAATGGTTAGATTTTTCAGATGGATGACCCACAGGGTACAGAGAGCACAAGTATCTAAGAATGGGGGGTTGACTGTGAGAAATAGATAGCAAGAAAATGATGTTCAGGACTGAGACAAAAAATCAGAGAACAGAAAATACTGGGCTTGTTAATGTTTCTGTTTAAATGTTTGGGAATTGTGCACCAAGGACTGGTGTACATATTAATACTCCTTCTGGCTTGTTGTTTTTCAAGTGAGAACCCCCTAGTTGCAGTGACTGTAATTTGCCAAATGAATCTTCTCAACTGTGCAGGGAGTGTTCCCATGCCTGTAAAATATGTTCTTGGGAGTGTCAGTTGTGGTTGTGATGATCCATGTGATCAGAGGACCCATGTGGTAAGAGTTAGACGTTACAGTTGGCCATGAAGAGGCCTCTTGGGCAGATAAAGGTAACACATAGAAAGACACTAATGGTTTTGATTTGACAATGTCAAAATACATCAGCTAATTTCAGTTCCTCAGGTCAACAGCCTAGACATAAAATTGCAATGTACTTTGTCTAGTATGTCAGTGAAAAATCTGTGTATTCACCCTTCATTCTAATAAGGACACTAGATCTGCTGATTTTATTGCTTTTAGGGAAATTTTTAAAAGCAATTTACTTAGAGCTGTATGAAATATGCATTCTAAATGAAATAAGTTATCATGTCATTACATCAAAGTTATATAAACCAAGAGAAAAATAGAGTAATTATCTAAATGAATGATATTCTAACTGCATAACTACTGTACAGTTTTCTAATTAAAAAGTTTAAAAGATGTTCAATAGCTGACTGGTTTTGCATTAACCATGGGCTATTTTTTTAATACAAAACACTTAAAGGACTAAAAACAGGTTGCCTTTAAACACAGAGGCAGCATATGTGTGTATTTTACATATGCATACATTACATTAAATGTTCTTGTCTCTGTATATAGATAAAATGAATTGTTTATAAAATTGTGACCATGGTGTTGAGTTTTTGTTCTCATTTGTGAAGCTATGTTGTCAAAATATTGAAAAGTTATTGAAAATTCTGAATTGTGATGTTCAGCATTGTGATGTTCAGCTTTTTCACATTGCTTGTTAATTTTTCTCTCATAGGTGCAACAGCTGCAGCTCGGAAAGAAGTGATACGGAACAAGATCCGGGCAATAGGCAAAATGGCTCGCGTATTCTCTGTGCTGAGGTATGTCTCGCTTCAGTGATGGCAGAACTTCCCAGTTGTTGCTCAGTTTCTCAGCGCAAACCCTTACATTTGGCATAAACTATTGAGAACAGTTAGTTCCTTCCTTTTTCTTTCTTTAAAACATTTTTATACCGCCTTTCCACCCAATCAGAATCCACAAGGCAGCAAACATTATAAAAACATTTAAACAATTAAAATACAGTTTAAAATATAAAATTCAATTAAAATGCTTAAACAAGTAACATCAGAATGAGAGCCAATAACCGTTATAGGGGGTATGCCAGATGAATCAAAAAAAGTCTGCTTCTGCTGGTGGAAGACACTGATAGAGGGAGTCAGATGAATCTCCCTGGGGAGGGAGTTCCAAACTTTTGGTGCCATGATGGAGAAAGTCCTTTCTCAGGTTGCCACCCGTCTAGCCTCAGATGGCGGGGGCAGCCAAAGCAGGGCATCCAAGGATGACCAGAGTGAGCAGGTAGGCTTCTTTTTGCACTTCTTCTATTAAGGAACATTTTAAAAACCTAAAATAACAACTAAATGTTGCTGCTGTGTGTATGTGCATGTGTCAGCAAATAGCATTGCAGTTCAATGTTACTTCTAATGTGAATGCAATCAGAAATGTGAAAATGGTCATCTGTCATTTCACTGAAGTTCCTGGCCCTAACTAAAAGCAACTGTATTTACTTTCTTCTGGCTTGTGTGCAACTGGAGGAATGAACTTCAAGAAATATATATACTAGCCAGTGATCTACAGTAATCTTCTATTTATTTTATAGGAAAACCAAAGGAGGGTATTTGCTTATGATTTAAACTCTCCTCCTCTGTGTTCATAAGGTTACATCCAACCAGATTTTCCACTGGTGAGAAAGGGAGGGGATGTCCACTTTGAGCACAAAAAGAGTGTATGCTGGAGATCACTGGACCTGCATGGAGCCATGTGGGATGGGGGCTGTAGTTTAACCCTTCTTTCATGCACCAACCAGTCCACAATCAGGGTCCCCAGACCAGTATTTACTCCAAAATATCTGTCCAGTCTGGCCTATATCAAAAAAGCAAAGAAATTCTACCACTATAAAGCAAGCAGAGGTCAGGAACAAGTTTAAGTATCTCCCTGTTTCCCTTTTGCATGCATCTTCCTGGCAAAGCATATCTACTCCTACACACACCAGTCCACAATCAGGGTCCCCAGACCAGTATTTACTCCAAAATATCTGTCCAGTCTGGCCTATATCAAAAAAGCAAAGAAATTCTACTAGGTTGGATCCAGTCAGCTTTTAGGCAGATGAAAAAAGTAAGGTGGATCCCTTTTGACCACCAGCACAGGCAGTGAATGGGATCTGCATGAGCAAAAGCCACACAGGGCAGGGAATCTGGGTGAGATTGAGCAGGAAAGATGGTGGGAGCCAACTAAGGATGGCTATGCAGTGGAAACTTCAAATGTCCTGGCTGTCATCTGATAGTAATTCTCATGTGAACTGCATGGCCCTGTGAACCCACTGTGACTCAAATTTATGTATCTGTCAAGCTTATTAAAATGCATATATTTGGATAGGTGATATCTTGACAATAAGGTTGTAATAGTCCTCAAAGATGTATTCACAATGACTTAAACTAGGATATATATGTGAACTTGGTTGTTATACTGATCCTTGAAACTCTCTTGTCCAGGCTATCTGCAAAAGAGTCAAGCAAATTTTCCTCTTGCATTATATTTCCCCCCTCCTTTTCAGCCAAAAATTGGCTCTCGTAGCAATTAAAATCCAAAGAAATAGAAGCAAAAGACAGCTAGGATTATGATGCTAAAGTAAAGGCATTTCTCAGTTAGAGCTGAAAGAGTGGAAGGGTGCATAGTGTTGGCAACTCCTTCCCCCTGGAGATTTCATCTGCTTACTGCAGCTTACATTGTCTTATCCTGTTCCTGCTAGGGAAGAGAGTGAGAGTGTGCTGACACTGAAAGGGCTGACTCCAACAGGAATGTTGCCCAGTGGGGTGCTCTCCGGAGGAAAACAAACTCTGCAAAGCGGTAAGTATGTTTGGGGGTTTGCGTGTGTTGTGATGTGTATAAATTCAGCTGCTAAATTACTTAATTTTTCATGCTCCGTTCCATTATGAAACTTTATCTTTAAAAACAGAAAACAAATCTAGTCCACAAAGCAATTTAACACCCAAATTTTGTCCAGCGGTTTTCAAAACTTGTTAGGTATAGCTGATGCCATTTAGAGGGAGGGGGAATGATCCTACTCACACAGGGGATTTCTGCTGCTGTGGAGAACAGAATAAACTTGGGAAGAAAATTAATAACTAGCACAAAAATGAGCCTTGATGGTGCTTCCCCTTAGATGAATAAAAGCCCATCTCAATAATGGGGGGGGTCTCATAGAAATGGACACAGAGGCTGTGTCGCAATCAAGTTTTAGGCCTGTAGGGTTCATTTGGGCAAGGAGGAACCTACCAGAAACGCCCTGCCTACACTGATGGCATCAGCACCAGGAGCTTAGCTGAGCCTTGTGCCAGCATAGGAGCTCATAGTGGTACGTGGCTTAGACCTTATGAAGAAGTTCCATCCATGTTAGTCTCTACTGCAGGGTGCAATTCCTCTTCCTCTACAACTTCTGTTTGCTTATGCAGTGGTTTTCAGTGGGCTAGTATGCAAACAGAACTTTTTGTAGGAGAAGCACACTCTGTGACAAAGACTTAGTGTGTGTGAAACTTGTTCATAGTATCCAACTCAATGTCAATCTGCAGTAGAATTAGCTCTACAAAAGCTACCATCACAAACCAACAACTTTACTCAAATAAGAACATACATAATTTTTTAAATTTCCTACACCATAATGTTTCTCCACCCCCTTCAGAATCCAAGCCAGTACAGTGTCAAAATTCATCTGCCCTATCCAGCTCTTTGTCTCTGGTGACTAAGGAGTAAGAGTGGGAAGAAATTTGCTGCTCTCTTAAGGATTTCATCCTTCACTGTATGGGGAGCCTTTCCCCCAGCGTAGAGGCAGGTTGCTTTTCAGAATGTGGTATCCGAGCTGTCCGTGGCAAGCCCATGTGCCAGTCCACCCCTTAATTCAGCAGATTTTGTCCAGATAATAAATACCACATTATAGTCTCCCTTCCAGTCTGCAATTGGAACTCAGCTTCTGAGGATAATTTTAATTGATGAGGAACAAATGAAGCACATAGAGCAAATTCACCATTTACTTGAATGAACATGGAGGAAAAGAATATTAATGGTGGAGTTTGCTGTGCATGCAAACATTTGAGGCACTGTATTCCACTGGCCCCTTTCAGTCATAATTTGTATAAGTAAACTAAGATAGTTATACCTGGTAGAACATTTCTCTTGGAATAAGGAGCTGTTTCAAGGATGTAATGTATTAACTGCATTTTGTTATCTGTGTTTATTACTGTGTAACATATATTTTCATGCACCCATGAGTGTCCAACCATAACTATGATGTAGCTTTCAGTAACTGTGAGACTTTGGACATTCGCCTTTTCAATAACTCAGTCTCAGCCTCTAACTTTCCCATTTCTTTCTTGGAGTTTTCTTCCCTGTATTTTTCCCTTTTTCTGTCTCTTTTTTCTCTTTTCTAGAAGATTCAGGTATTCTGGGTTAAACTCTCTTTTTGGTGGCTTGTGTGATACACAAATGGTAATGTTCCACTTTGTAAATGTTGCACTATGATGACCCATGTGCTTTTGGCACAGGCATGAAATCTGGATATACACAGAACATCTTATCAGTATTTATTAATACTTTTGGCTTTATGAGGAAAACATGTTCAACAAAAATGTGTTTATCCTGGCGATTAAAATTAGTTGCTTATTGTTGAAAAGCCTTGTTTTAAAATGATGGTCCATAAATCCACTCATGCTGCAGTATTAGGACTTAGTGAAACATTACCGTCCTCAATCCATTAGTTAACACCTTGCGCCATTCACCAAATATACTGAAATTTACATAGTTTCTGTTAAGCACATTTTGCCAAGTATTCTATGTATTAACAGAAAATATGAGCGATATATTCTGTGAAATGTGTACATCTCTAGTGGCCATTATTTCTAGTGTATCTGTGCTGGTTTGGATCCTGTTTCTCATCTTAATTTCTGTAATCTCTCTCATGTATTTTTATTATGCATTTTTACCTGTTATTTTCCATCTTTTTCCTTAATCACCTACGGGCTATAGATTCCATGGGGGGAACTTGTCCTTGATGTAGAATGACACTTTGTGAGAATCCACTGATCTCAAGCCACTTTAAATAATGCAACTACAATATTCTAAATGGGCCAAAACTTTTAATTTCATGTTTAAGATTGGGCAGGTTTTGCTGCCATATTCAACAACAATAATAATTTAGGTTGCATCTAGCAACTTCTTCAAATGTTGGCTCTTCAAAGAAATTCAAGTTAAAAATAAAATATTATTTTTCATTTTCTTGCAAAATTCTTAAGGCATTTAGCAGATTTGGGGGAAGGGTCTGAAAAGATCCATAGCTCTAAACAAAAACACATGTTCCATCTTTCTCATACACACACAGAATTAAATTATGATTAGTATGTGATTCCAAAGCTCTGTCAGTAGTTCTTTTTCTGTGTGTATGTGTATATAAAAATTTGAAGAGCAGAGTATGCAATGTCTGCTCTGTTTTTGCAAACTCCCACTTCTCTGAAGTAAGACTCTAGACCCTATGCTTGACCACAGGAAATGCTCTATAATTTTGGAGATTAGCGTTAAGCAGTGGCTCCTTAGGCTTCAGGCCAATTTTCTCTTAATGGGCTCTTCTTAAATCTGACTTGCCCCATTAATTGTTGCATATACAGATAGTCTACTTTGGATTTTAAAAAATCAGTGTGGAAAGGTTTTTTTTTAAATACATAAAAAACAGTAATTCACTGACACCCCCCAGTAAAAGAAATCTATTGCCTGCAAACTATAATACCTGTTTCTGTTTTGTGTGTTAGCATTCTGTGTTGTCTTCTGTGTCAAAATCCAGCACTTACAGTAACCTTTAAGTGTACTACCTCCTTTGCTATTCACTGACTTGTTCTTAGAGTTAAATCCTCTGCTCATTTTTCTCATTCGTTTTGCTACCCCTTTCTTCTCTTCAGCTACTGTTGAGGCTATTGAGGCTGATGAAGGTAAATTGGCCAGACCCCTTTCTGTTGTTTTCTGCAACAGACAAGGGCTCTGCTGGGTGTATTCATTTTGCTGTAGCTTGTATAGAGTGTGTGGGTGTTGAGCTAACAATTGTGGCTCAGTATTAACCTAAGTTTACTTGCTTTAAAGGGGAAAAGTGTTTCTTTTATTGTTGTTGTTGTTTCTTAAAGTTGCAACAATGTTCTGATCTGTGTCCATTAAGTTCTCAAAGTGCAGAATGAATGTCGCACAAGGCTAAGAAAGCTTGCAACTCTGTTCAAAGGGGGCACGGCAGCTCTTTGGTAAAAGCCATTTGGAAAACAAGCAGTCTCCCTTTTGGGGGGAACCAGTAATTTCTTCACATCCTCTTCTGAACATTAAGTGGCAACTTAAGGGTTCTCCCTACACCGAGGTCCCTAGTGAAAGTTATTTTTGAGTGAGTCTTCACTGTAAGTCAATTTCTTTTAAGATGTCTCCTTTTTTAAAAAAAAAAGTTTTAAAAAGAGAAATGGTAAGATACGAATTTTTTTTCAAAGAAGCTTTGAGAATTTTTTTGTAGTGCATTCATTAATAGCAGCACTATATTACCAACTACAGAGACAAATGAATTACTGTCAAAGATATTTGTATGCAAAACTTCAGACTGCCTTTTCTCAAGGATACTCATGCTTCAACTCTTAAGCAATTTTTGTTGGCTATACTGTTAAGAGATCTTCAAACCACTTACTGAAATATCTATATGCATAATGCTGAATTAATAATTCAAATGTTTTGCAAGAAGACTCTCAAAAGTTCCCCTTTAAAACAAAACCAAAAAAATATTCAGTTGTATTTTGTTCTTGCCCCCCTAAAATGTCTTGGTTTTTCCAAAGAATTTTATTAGCCATTAGTTCTTTTGGCATGGAATAAGAACGCCATTTTGGCCCCTTGTATCTGGTGGTTTTTTATTGTTGTGTGACAGCAGTGAACAAAATTCTTAGAAGTAAGTAAGAGAAAATACAACTGCTTTCTAAATAGCAGTGAGTGAGCTGCTATTTATGCTGGAATCCTCTATTCCTATTGGCAACTTCTACTCTGCAGTGTGCATTCTTGTTGACAGTTTGGCTGTTTTTTCTTTTTCCTGTGATTTCTGTGACTGTGTTGTGTTTTTTTTAGTATTACTCTCAATGTAAATTGCTAATAATCATTGTCTGACCAGCAACTGCAGCAGAGCACATTCTTTAGCACTAAGGTGTATATATAAAATGTCTGCTTGAGACTGAAATTAATGTGAATATGCAGCCCATTCTGGGATTATGTGTTTGTCAAGTTAAACCTCTATTAATTACTACATCTTCATTATAACCAAAGATTTTTTTTAGTTCCTCTTCTTGAAGATTGAATAAAAATTATTCTGCTTACATTAAAAGCTTTACTAGGGGCCTGAGCCTTTGGCGGAGCCTAATGTTGACCATCTCCAACTGCAGCAGAGCTTCCTGTATATTCACATCACATTTAAACATCAGCATTTATTGTACACCCGCTCCAAGGAAGTACACTGGGTGACAATTAGCAATAGTCTATTCATGGTGAATTTAAAGGAGGTTCTGGAAGCTTTGCTACTAGTCTCTGTTCCACCTTACCTCAAATTTGGCATTGGGGCAAAACTTAATTTTGATTTACAGGAGGAGAAGAGTAGTAATCAGGCATCAGGGCTTCTTTTTTAGTCCACAGACCAATTCCTTTGTATGAAGTAGTCCAACATGCAACATTTAAACAAATTGACTTCTACATTGTTTGAAGTGTCCAGAAAGTCTCCCTTTCAGATATGGTGTATTTCGGCCTGCAATGGATCCCACCCCCCCACCCCCACTAAGTCACATTTTTTAGCAGGGGGAAGGGAATTGGTGTTCTGTATTTGCCCTCACTGGTACACATTTCCACAGCAGCAGCTGGCAAAATGTCAGCAATGAGAGATGTTGTACTCACCACGCAACTCAACACAAGTGGTTTAATTAGTATCAGGGACTCCACCTCTAAGAGATATGTAAAAGCAATGTTAAGATTCAGAGAGGACAATGATTCCTTTTTCTCTCAAGGAGTACAAATTTGATTACTTTGCAACAGATAAGTCAAAGAATGAATTCAGGTTCCAACCCCCTTAATCCCTTTCTGCTCAAACCTTCTCAGTGTATTTTTCTCTCCTGTTATTGGTACTAGCGGAATATCTTGGCTATCTTGCATGTTAATAAATGTAGCAGAAAGAAACGTGACCAACGTTCTTGAAATATAGTACATTTTTTATTCTTATTTTTATTGAATAAGAACCAAAAGCACACTGAAGGGTAACAGCAATTGGTACTTAAGCCTTATCAGCAGAATGTTGCCTAGAGTTCTCCCGCTTTCGTTTTTTTAAACTGAGTCACTTTCTAGAATAAGTCCCTGTAAGAATGGAATTGCATCAAGCCCCCTGAATATTTTTCATTGAGTGTGTGGAAATACCTAGTGAGATCAATGTGGAACTTCTCAGGTCATTGCTGAAGGGCAGGTTCATTGACTTTTAAATTCAGTTACTTGGCTCCTATGTTCTCACACTTTCAAAGTTAGGAGGGGTGAATATGCCAAAAGAATGGTATTCAGAGTTGGTCACACTAAATCACAGCAGTTTAACCAGATTACTCTGTAGGTGCTCTCGGGCTGACAGATAAGGGTGTTGTTCCTGAGCAGCACAGGATTATTTGTGCTGTAGTGAAGACACTAGGGGACTTCTGCCTAATACATTGCACAATTATCTTTGTTTGATCAATCTCCTACAAATCTCCTACAGTGACTGTATCTACCTATTATCCAGCCAATTTAATACACAGATGTGTATTAACTTGGGTGGATAATAATAAGATGGAGCAGGTGATAGGACTGCATCTTCTTTCCCCATCCCTTCCTTTTCCTGATGTGAATTCTGTTAACTGTCTTACCCACAAAATGTTACATCAGCATGAACATTGATCAAATGGGAGGATGAGTACAGATAATCCACAATTATGTGGCCTGGTACCAATAGCTTAACTGTGGTTATCAGATCATCCCTGTAATGTGAATACTTGCCCCTGTTTAATATTCCTTGTCCTGAAGCACCACCTCCATCCACATGAGATTTTGCATCTCCCCCCTCCAATCTGTCTGGAGTTCTCTTTAAAAAGACAGCAATTATTTCTGCAACAAGTTTGGCTCACCTGGAAATATAGGTATAAAAGGTCAAAAAATGGGAGTTGTTGACCAAGCTGTAGTTATGTGAAGCCTTTGAAAACAGCCTTGCTGTTTAAATGTCATCATGAGAAGTTAAATCTATCCTGCAGAAAAATTATCTCCCTTGGACATTAGTGGTTTGAGGAACATTGAGGGCAGCTGTCACATGAGCTTGACGACCCCTCGTCGCTGTCACTGCCCCCCTGCTGCTCCGACCTATACGCCACCATGGCCTGCCTCCCGAGGAGTGGGAAGGGGGAACCACAGAGGCCTCAGATGTTCAGGAGGGGAGGAGGTTAAGTCACCACCCTCCACACTCCCTTGGCACACTCAGACACGTCTCTCTCTCGCTTTTCCCTTCGGTGCTGTCAGTGTTGCTTTCTCCTCCCCGGCCTCCGTTTCTGTTCCCCCTTTTATTCCCACCCTGTGTCACCTGCTCCTTTCTGTGGTCCGCCCTCCACCCCAGTTATGGCCCCACCCACTCCTCTTGTACCGGGATGCTGGGCTGGGGTGTGGCTTCCTTCTGGCCCTAGCTTCCCTGCCCGTCCCACATCTCTCTCCCTCCATGCTGCTCTGTGCTGTGGTCAGGACCTCGCGCTGGGCTATTTGCCCGGCACGGTTGTCTCCACTGCTCTCAGGGCACCCCCCTCCTGCGCTGGCCAGTCCCCGATGGAGGCTCTGCCCGGGTGCCTTGGAGCCATCTCGATGGGTCCCAGGAGCTGTGGCGACGGTGCATCAGGTCGGCCCCTGCCTCCGGTAGGTTCCTTTGTCATTGGTGCTGGGGTGGGCGGCGGCGGCGGCGGAGTCCTGAGTGGTGGCGGCCAGCCCTGGAGAGGCTCGCTCTTGGGACACTATCTCACAAGGTAGTTGTTACCCAGCCCTGGGGAGGCTCGCCCTCGGGACATCAGCCTAAACTTTTTTCACTTAAGGACAATTCAAACCATTTGTGTGAATGTGCTAGTCATCACAAAATGGTTTGGCTTCCCCAGTTCCACATGGTTAATATTTATTATAAATGCCCCCAAACACATAGATATACATGTCGTGATAAAGTAGTATTCATGACTAAGTGAACACATGGGAAGTAGCAAGCCCCCTCACGTAATACCATCTGCCCCCAACTGTCACATTCACAACATGAAGTTGATAGGGTGATGCTATCATTGCGATTGCAGTTAAAAAAAAAAAGGTGTGAATCAGCCCTTCAACAGCAGGTTTTAGCTGCTCATTATTTTGCTATGAGCACTAACTCTCCTTATATATAATTGAGTAAGAACATTCTATATGAACATTCTAAAATGCCCGCCTTTAGTGTTAGGCCAGAAGAACTGCCTCTCAGAAGACGCTGGCTGGGTTGACTGGCTGCTTTGTGCAGTCCCGCCCAGCGTTTCAAGGTCTTTTGCATATGGAAGCTGATTGGACTTCACTGCATTCCACACCTCAAACTCACCCCCCTCCCCGCAAGGCAGTTGGAATGTCAGTTGCATATGGAACCTTCAAGGTCTTTTGCATATGGAAGCTGATTGGACTTCACTCCATTCCACACCTCCATTCCACCCCCTCGCAAGGCAGTTGGAATGTCTGGTGGTGTGTAGGTCCCAGGATCATGTTTTAAAAGCTGCCTGGGGAGATGGGGACCTCAGACAGGTTACAGTGGCATAGACTCCACCCTCCAACCCAGCTATTTGCTCCTGGGGAACTATTGTTGCCAATCTTGGCCCAGCACCCATCAAACCATTCTCTTCAACCCCATGCTGTGCAGCTGACTTTCCCCTAGGGTTGCCAATCTCCAGGTGGGACCTGGAGATCTCCCACTGCTACAATTGATCTCCAGATGACAGAGATCAGTTTCCCCTGGAGAAAATGGCTGCTTTGGAGGGTAGACCCTATGACATTATACCTGCTGAGTCCTTCCGCCCCCGCCCCCCCAATGCTGCCCTCTACAGAATCCACCCCCCAAAACTCCAGGTATTTCCCTCCTTATAGCTGGCAACCCTACTTTCCCCTCAGTGCCTGTTGGTAGGCAACTAAGTTTG